ACTACATTAATTGTGGTGCTCAAACTGTTCCAGCTTTGGCCATTGGTAGCTCTTGCTGTTTGGTTCCTGTGTCCTTTTGACATGCCCAGCTTTTTAAGGGCAACTTTTGAAAAATCAAATTTTATCCTTTGCCATTAATTTGTTGTATTAAATATTGTTTAATTCTGGCCAAAAAGTTGACAAAACATATCACTCGGATAAGTCAAGAAGTCTATGGCCATACCACCCTGAATGCGCCTGATCTCGTCTGATAAGTCAAGAAATTATACACTCAAAAGTCAAACTTATAAGGCTTTTCCTAATCACCAAAAACCAGCAGTGACCCAAGTGGTCATCAACAGGTGAATGACTGAACAACGGTACATCTCTAGAGTAAAATGTTGGTCTTCTACTCAGAACAAAAGGAATAAACTATTGATGTATAGCACAGTATAGACAAATCTCAAATGCATTATGTTAAGTAAAAGAAGACAGACATGGAAGGCCACATATCATACAATTCCACTTCTATGACATTTTGGAAAATGTAAAACTACAGGAACAGAAAACAGATAGCTGAGTTTTTGCCAAGGACTGGGGCAGGAGGAAATTGACTACAAAGGGACATGGAAAAACCTGATTTTGGCGCATACATTTGGTAAAACACATCAAATTGTACAAGTAAAAAGGTTGAATTTTATGTGTGTAGATTATACAGAATAACATGACTTAAAAAACTAAATATTAAATTGCCAATTAGAATCTGAGATGTCTCAGGGCAACTATATTTCTAGCTTCTCATGTAACATTTCCCTTTCTATAATAGCAGCCAATATCAAGTCAGAACTTCAGTCATTAGATTTTTAGAACATGTCTGGGATATATGGCAGACATTATTATATTATATTTAATTATATGTGGGGAAATAGAGGCCCAGTAATATCACAATTACTTATCCACATTAATGATGGAATAGGGACCAGAATCCAGGTCCCCAGACTCAAAGACCAGTGATTCTTATATATATCAAATACCTATTCTGCCCATATTAACCCATATTCTTTATAATTTATAAATAGTAAATAACCCTTCTCCCACTTCTAAT